TACTGTATTCCAGTCGTTCCTGTACCTGGTGTGGTACCTGGTCATGTCCCTACTGGGCCACTATAACAACTTCTTCTTCGCTTGTCACCTGTTGGACATCGCCATGGGTGTTAAGACTCTGCGCACCATCCTGTCCTCTGTCACTCACAATGGCAAGCAGGTAGGGAGTGCAATACCTGCAAACCAAAAGAGAGAGTAGATAGGAATGAGTGGCTAGGTTTGAAATGAGATCAATGGGAGGGGTTGGGTTTATAGGATCAGACTCAGGGAAATGCTATCAGCTTGCAGTGGGCTTAGAATAAGGACTATATTTGGTGTTTGATAAGAAATATTCTGGCTTAGATTGAAGATTAAATTTAGGGTTGGAAACTGTTTTTTACTGGTGTTTCTACCTCTGTGTGGCAGTTTAGTGTTACTATACAGTAGCGTGAAATGTGTTATTAATGCCTGTCCCTCTCTCTCAACCCCTCTCTTCTTCTCTCCCACCCATCTTCTCTCTCTCTGCCCCTGCCTTTGATCTCCTTTCTCTGTTCTCCTCTCTTTCCCTCCTTCATCCTTTCTTCACTTCCTCTCTTTCACTGCATCATCCTCTCTCTTTCCTTGCCTCCTCTTTCTCCCTCTCCCTCAACTGCTTCTTCCTTCTTCCTTCTCTCTCACCTCCTCTCCCTCCCTCTCTGTAGTTGATGATGACAGTGGGGCTGCTGGCAGTAGTGGTGTATCTCTACACCGTTGTTGCCTTCAACTTTTTCCGCAAATTCTACAACAAGAGCGAGGACGAGGATGAGCCAGACATGAAGTGTGACGACATGATGACTGTGAGTTGGAGTGTGGGTGAGCATGCGTGAATGTGTGGGAGTGTGTGGGAGCGTGTTTTGTGTAGGGTGGTCGAGTGTGTGTGCAATACCAGTGTCAATGTGCTGTTCTGTCCTGTCCTGTCACTGGTCTCAGGCTCAGTGTGTGTATCAATCTGCTCCTCTCTCGGTCTCCCTCAGTGCTACCTGTTCCATATGTACGTGGGGGTGCGAGCTGGCGGGGGGATCGGCGATGAGATTGAGGACCCGGCGGGTGACGAGTATGAGCTGTACCGCGTGGTCTTCGACATCACCTTCTTCTTCTTCGTCATCGTCATCCTGCTGGCCATCATTCAGGGTAACGCAGCACACCCCATTCTCCTGAAACACCTCCACACACTCCCCTACCCAGACAGTCCTTCACACACTCTCCAGACACTCCCTCACACACTCCCTGCACACTCCTCAGACACTCCCTCACACAGCTCCTCACACACTCTCCAGACACTCCCTCACACAG